GCACCTTTAATTAGTCGAGTTAAGAGAGAAACGAAACACGCAATTTGGCCTGGAACGGCGCGACTTAGAGAGAAATAATGACCAGGACTTGAGATGAAAAGGAGAAGCCCTCGGCGCGGCGATCGGCATGTAACACATATTAGCGCCTACAAGACTGCACGAATACTTCACGCATTGCACCAAACACAGTGCGGTCATTGCGGTCAGCGTGAAACGGATAGCGCCTACAAGAATGCATGAATACTTCACGCATTGCGGCAAACACAATGCGATCAGCGTGAAACGCATAGCGCCTACAAGACTGCGTGAATACTTCACGCATTGCGTCAAACACAGTGCGTTCAGCAGCGGCGCGGCGGCAGAAATTAGAATCATTAATCCACATTCATGTTTGTTCTTTCATAATTTTTTCGTTCATTTCTGATGAATGGAAGGCCTTGTCCGCACAGAGATAGGTTTACGAAACTTAACTTTCGCGCAAAGTTCCGTGAACTTTTGGTAGTAGTGTTGACAGGGCTTTCCCAAAAAATGTGTTCAATACGAGTAAACGCGTCTTATGCACCCCTTCCCCGCTGGTACGTTCATTTGATGGTTTTTATTGATGTTTCAAAACGAATGAGAAGGGGGCGACAAAATACAGGCCGCCCCCAGGTTGCCTTAGGTGGCCTATGGGCGGCAAGTAAGTAAATCCGGCCCTGTCTGCGATATAAAAATCTGGCAACCTCAATCTTGACGCTTTGGCTCAGGTATAGCAAATTGCTAATAGTTTGAACAACACATGGTGGAAAATGAACATTGATCGATTGAGAAGCTTGCTAAAATCGTTGTAGTGCGCGATTTGACTCACGTAGAGCTTTGAGTTTCTTGTGAGCGGGCAGTTCAAATTCCGCGTAACCAATGTGAAATAAAAACGTCAATATGTTCGTTATGTGCGAAGGATGGCAGACGATCGGTTGCCTAAGCAGGTTTTCGATTGGGTTCCTCCCGGAAGGCGACGGCGTGGACGTCCTGTGAAAGGTTGGCGACAAGGGGTGGAGGAGGAGATCAGAAGGTGCCAATTTCCACATGATACCTGGGAGGTTAGGGGGCAATGGCGATTGGGCGTCGCAGAGCGCGAGGCTGCGCTATAAAAGCGGCTTTATGCATGTATCTTCGTTAGGAGTTGGTTTCAGTATATTCGTTGTGCGAATCGTGAAATTCTGGTTAAGAAACATGTATCAGATTGCTTAATTTCGCACCTTGTCTAGCGGTCCATTCTCTTGAAGAAGAGTTTTCCGCCAAAATTCATTCTCAGATTTTTTGGACCCTCAAAATTCGAACAGCTACCCATTCAAATGTTTATGGTGACGTCACATCAAGATCAACGCGCGTCGATTCGACCACGACTCGGATGTGCATGAAAGGATGATTCGCTCGCCAACGTCGGGTGATGAACCGTGACATGGGTGCGAACAACTGCCGGCCACTCGTGCTAATGAGCTTGATGACGGATGACGGGTCATAACCGGGAGGGGGAGGTGGACCAAAACAGGCAGTTGAGTGGACGCAACAAGTTCTCCTTGAGGACGTCCCGCGTCCCGTTCCGCGGCTGCAGAAGGGAGGGGGGAGGGGGGAGGGATAGTTCCTCGATTGAAGTGTGCACTCGAGCTTCTGGCTCGTGCTAACGTAGCGTGATAAATATTTGTCGAAATTTATGTATACACACCCAGAGGAAAATTACCGCGGATTGTGGTAGTTAGGCCGAAGAGTGCTTAAGATGAAAGCTCTAATTGGATCAGTGAGAAGGAAAACACACCAACTCGGTAACTCTAAAATCCTCAATTTTCATTTAGAACTGTCAATTTCCATAAAGGCCATTGAAGTCGGCGAATCTGTTCCAACTTGGACCTTTAAAGCGTCTTTAAGTACTTTTCTTTCGGCACCAACCATTTTCTTCTTGGACTTACTTCTTCACCTACCGCGCAGTTTTGCGTGTGTCCACATTATTTTCATTTTTTTGAGTTGTGTTTTCGTTCTCACTTGTTCAATTGTTCAATACAGGGGAAGTCCTATCTGGAGTCAAAAATAAAATAACTGAAATATTTTGCGTCAAACAATAAGCTCTATTCCCGGACTTCAACACAACTCGTGGTTGTAAGACTCTTCTACCACCGACTACTTACTCTTCTCAACAATTTTCCTTCCAATTTTTCAGATAATCTTGTTTGCAATTTCACCTGAAGCTCCTGAAAAGTTCAAGGAAAAATGTCGACAACCTTCCTCAAATTGAGTGTTCCATCGGGAGAGATTTGATAACATTCAAATGCTGATAAGACGTTCTTCCCTAGGAAGGCGCTGTCCTTTGCATTGCCGTGCTTGGCGAAAACGCCGCGTGAGCACTCGGATGTTGCCAAATTTTCTCTCAGAAAATATTTACTATCGAAAAAAGTTATGAATATTTTTCCTCGACATTTTCTGACCTTTTCGATCAAATTACGTACGAAATCCTCTGAAACCCCGGAAGAGAACTTTTCTCAAATTTTCCTGAAAATTTGTGATTGATTTGTCGAGAGAAATTTGGCAGCGTCTGATGGCTTGTACGGCGTTCTACCGTACTGCCGTGCTAAGGGAAAACGCCATATGAACATTCGAGAGTTGCCAAATTTCCTCCAATAAAATGCTCATTTTTGAGGAGAGTCGTGAATATTTTCTCTTGATATTTTCTGATAATTTAGAGCTAGTTGCGGCTGAAATTCTTTGAAAAATTGGAGAGAGAATCTTCACAAGTTTCCCTAAAAATTCGTATTTCATCCAAGGAAATTTGGCAAAGTCTGAAGACTCATACGACGTTCTTCCTTAGCACGGCAGAGTAACTTGTCCACCCACCGCACCGACCGCAGCCGAGGCTTATAAGTTCCCGCTCAGCATGCTCCTCATACAGTGCTGCCATTTCCCGGAAGTAATTCCGAAATCCGGAAATTTTCCCGGAATTTTTAGCTATTTTTGGAATGGACCTCTAGACAAGGTACACATTTCAGCATTCTGATACATGTTTCTAAACCAAAATTTTACGCAGAACACGATGCGCTCAACGAAAATGACCGAAATCAATACCTTACGAAGATATTTAATGATTCTTAATGCGTGAATTCAAACCATCCGCTCTTGAAAACTCAATGCTCTACGTGATTCACATCGAGCGCTAAACGTTATCATGACAGTCTCTGCTATATGAAAATCTGGCAACCTCGATCTTGACGCTTTGGCTCAGCTATAGCAAATTGCGTATAGTTTGAACAACACATGGTGGGAAATGAACATTGCTCGATTGAGAAGCTTGCTGAAACCGTTGTAGTGCGCGATTTGACTCACGTAGAGCTTTGAGTTTCTTGTGAGCGGGCAGTTCAAATTCCTCGTAACCAATGTGTAATAAAAACGTTCATATATCTTCGTTAAAAGATGGTCTCAGTAATTTTCGTTGTAAGAATCGTGTTTTACGTAAAATTCTGTTTAAGGAACGTGTATCAGATTGCTTAAATTCGTACCTTGTCTAGTGGTCCATTCCCTCGAAATTTGCAGTTTTTCGCCAGTTTGACCATATATTTGTTGATCAAATTTAGGGACTTTTTGATCAAATTGGACGATCTTCGGAACTGTACCCGGGCGTATTTCGGAATTTTCCCCCGGAATTTTTCTCGGAACTCCGGCAAATCGGAACATGTTTCCGGAAATCGGAATTATTTCGGAATCTTTTGATAAAATAAAATGGCAGCGCTGTCCTCAAATTCAGGTGTTGTTCCTGCGAACTCCCCGAACTCTCTCTCCTCGTCCCGCGTCGATGCTCAGACAACATGCTCGTTTTTTGATGAGCTCCGAAACGCGAGAACCCTTACGGGTCTCAGGGGTCATCGAGAATTAGACGTATTAGATTTTAGCATGGACCAATTTCTATGTGCCAGGAAATCTTCGTTCCTCCAATAATTTATCGGTCTGCCGACGTCGTGCGCCAACACCCCACGCTCATCGACGGAAACGGCCTCTTCCTCCCCACGCTCGTTTTTGATTCGTCCTGCCGTGCCGAGGAAGAACGCCGTAAGAGCATTCAGGCGTTGCCAAATTTCCGCAGATAAAATGTTTATTTTTGAGTAGGAACATGCATATCGACGGTGAAAGTCGGCAATCACATAATTCGTTTGCGGTGTCTGAAAATCTCCGCCTCCACGTCATTTTCTTAAAGGAGAACAAATTGATATTATTTCTTGAAGTTTTTGCAGAATTTTCTTCGCATTGAGAAGAAAAATTATGACAGTTTTAAAGAATTGCCGTTGAGTAGTTTTCCATTTAAAAAATAAAGTATGACAGGAAGTCTGCGACGTCGCAAACCGAGTTATGTGATTGCCGACTTTCACCGTCGATATTTTCTCCTGAAGTTCTCAGATAATTCAGATCTGATCGCGAATGAATGAAATCCTTTGAAAAATTCAAAGGAAAATATTCCCACATTTTCCCGGAAATTCATAATTTATCAAAGAAAATTTGGCAACACCTGGAGGCTCTTACGGCATTTTTCCTTAGTACGGCAGCTTACCGAAGTGCAATAAAGGAATCCTAAAGTGGATAAAAAGTGAATTTCAGGCTTTAAAAGAAGGTTTTGAGTTCATCAGGATTAACGGAAACTTTTTCACCATTCGGCTGATCCAAGAGAAGGTCTAAAGCGATTTTTAGGTTTTTCGGTGAAGTTACATGATCAACGCTGTCTACAGGAGGAGTACAGCTTTACAGACGTGAAAGATGACGTCATTCGTATTTATTCATGCCAACTTCAAGATGACGTCATTCTCCGTATTTTTTAAAATGCGACAGTTCTGTTAATGTCGGCTGTAAAACCTTGGCAGTTGAAATTACACTCAAAACATGGTAAACAGGTTTGATTTCATCCAAAAGTTGTTAAAAAACTGTGAAATGTTCCTTTGAGTATTCCATGGATCTAATCCTTTTCGTTGTTTTCCTTTGTCCAACAGAGCTATTTCGTCACCGATTATGACCCCACAATCGAAGACTCTTACACAAAACAATGCGTGATTGATGACGTCCCTGCCAAATTAGACAGTACGTATACCTTAAACTCTCCATTTTTTTTCTCAAACTTATATTTATTTTTCCAAAAAGAGCTCTAAATAAAGTCAGTTGAATACATAATATCTTCTGTCCAACTCTTCCCTATTTCATGCTGAGTTTTAAAAGCAAGCCCCTCAAAATAAGTGAGTCATGCAAAATTGCTGTTTCAACTTTTGAAATTTTGCCCTGGGTCTAAAAAGTACTTTTCAATTGCTGTGCATTTTTTGGTGCACCAATTGATTTTTTTTTTTTTTTTCTTTTTTTTTTCTGAAACATTATTCTGATACCCTGTTCTATCTTATATCAAACTAGGGGGCCCTGCCCCCTGACCGCTACGCGGGCCCTATACGCATATGTATAGGCAAAAATGTTCTTCCATTTTAATACACCCTTTTGTGTTCGAGCTGCATCGATTTCAAAATTTTTGACGTAACACTCAGATTTGTAAATGAAGAGGAATAGCTGGATGTACATAATTTCACAGTCCACTTACTGGAGAAATTTCCATTTACTATGTTATTATTAAATACTTAATATAAAATAAAAAATCGGATTTCGACCGTTAAGAGTTATAATATTTGGTCCGTCCCGACGCGACGCAGCGCCTGCCTTCTCACTTTGTATCTGCTGTTTATCTGCTGTAAATATTAATAGAAATTCATCAATCAAGTAAATTGACCAATGCCACAAATTGAAGCCGGAAGAATGCAGGAAAAATTGAGTTAAACCTTATACCTTGGACCTTGAGCCTTGAACCCTGAGCGATGCACCGTTGTTCCTCAACTCTTCGAATGAGGAACCCTTCACGAGCTTTTCCATTGTTTTATTGTTTATTCGAGTCACTCAGGTAGAATCCCACACCTTGACGTTTCTAGCGGAAACGACATATCTCTCACACTATTAACATTGGACTTAATTGACATGAGCTTTAAAAGCTGTACAACATTAAAAGTTCGGGGTTTCATAATTTTTTGCACATTTACATCTACTACAGATGAATTACATGCATAGATCATCCTTATCGGTCCGGCACACAGTGGATCGAGCCAATGGTAAAGGTCGGACATAGGCCCAAAAATGAAAGTGAAGGAACATAATGTTTCTTGGCATTTTCTTAAAGTAGACTCTTCAGCCGAACATAAAATACCAATATTACATCTGAAAAAAAATTTAAAGCGATGTAACGGACGTGTGATACACCGTGTCTACACTGAGGTGAATTTCGGGTACATTTTTAGCCTAGACGTTACTCCTATATTTTAATTATCCTGCATTTTTGTATCAAATTTTGGGGGTTGTCCTCTATCATTGATGCAACGGGGAGAGAGAAACACCCATTGCCATATTTTTCATCCTTATTTTTAATTTTTAATACTAATATCAGTGCACAGACATGGTACCCTAAAAAACCCGGTTTTCCAAATTCAGTGAATGGTTTCGACATTGTTTCAGAACATTTCAAAGAAAACCGACCTAGAGGAATGTTCCTTATATCCCTAGGAACCAATATCAATTGAGAAATTTTGCCTTTTTTTGCCTTTTTAGAAGTTAGGCCTATAAATGTGATGACAACTCGCTCCTCGAAAAAACCAATATTTGAATTTTAAATGAAAAGTCCTAGTTTTTTGCATCTAGGAAGGCTGGAAGGCTCCCATTGGGTTGGTAACTTACCACCGTCTCGAATTGGCTTTCGGAATAAATTAGTCATGCCCTCCCCCCCCTCTCCCTTCCGACGCCAATAATATCATCTTGCACCACAATCTTGTTCTTTCTATGTCGAAAAAAGGAGGGGACACTAAGTCAATTGATCGTAGCGCAATTTGATTTCTTTTTTGGTCAATATATGCATCAATTTTAGGGATTTGTGACTTTATAAAATTTTACTCTCCCCTCCCTTTCAGTAATTTTTATTCTTTTAAACAAATGTTACTCTCAACCTCCTACAATTCTGCAGAAATGATGCCCCTGGTTTTCATGAAAAATCGTTCGACTTGATTGTTGGGTAACCCCCTTGGTATACCCCTGGTATTATCTTCCATCCGCAGTTCATAGAATCCTATTCCACGGTGCGGAAATAATCGAATATTTTTCGATCCCGATCGGTTCACTATCGGAGGAGCCTCAAGAAGCGAGGAATAAAGAAGTTCGCAACACCCGTGAACATCACACGCGGAAAAAATCGAGGGAAGCTGCAAATGAAGACATCATGCATTTTTTGTTGGTCTCCTCAGATCCTATTATTTCGAGCCTCCGACCCCTTACGGCGAAGAAAAAGCCAAAACTCCTTTTACCGGAAGCTCTGGATCTGCTCGTCAAGGAACAGTGCTTGGAGCACCCTGTATAAGTGGAATATTTCTGCCCCCTCGGTTTTCATTGTGAGCCATAAACTCTCTTTTTTATTTTAATTAAGTTTTGCTTTGTACCTGAACAGCTCACTTAACCGCATCGTATCCAGCTAGTAAATTTTGGAAGCGGGGGAAGGGGGGGGGCATTGCTTGTTTAAAAATATTCACATTGAGTTTACAGCAAAATAAAAGAATAAAACAAAATATTTGTAGCTCAGCAGAAACAAATAAAAGAATAATTAATCGCAATAATTATTAGAGCATTTACTATTTTTTGAAGAGTTTCAAAGAGGAAAAAAAATCAATTTTTCCTACAAACCGCTGACTTTAACGCCTTTTCTATATGATATTCAGCTTTCTCGTGAAAAATTACCGTAGAAAACATATATTTGTGTATCATATGGCGGTTGACAGTCACACGATAACCCTATGTCCGCGCCGCCCTATCCTTCGATCCACAGTGCGGCAGTTCGTTAGAAATAGTGCTTTCAAGATTTTGCTTGTTGCTGTACAATATGTATAGATGCTTAAGTAGGAACGAGTACCTTTACTCACTGTCAATATTTTTGAGAGTTCAATGAAAAATTTAATAAAAGTCTCTAAGTGAGTTTCAATTTAAAAAAGTATAATTGGGAGGATTTGAACAGAATCCGCTTATGTGCATTTCACGCTGCCTAAATTTCTTTCAGATCGAATTTTCTCCCAAAAAAGCTAAGCACTATAACGCCTTGAAAATTGTTGTGAATTTTCCGTAAAGTAGGTATGAAGAATGCACTCACGAATTTACAGGGCAAAATATTGCTTGGGTTCTCTGTGAAAAGATGAGTGAAACATGAAAAGAAATGGGGTAAAACTTGATGAAGTAAGACTGATTCTGGTTTTAAAGCCAGTCAATCGTATGTTTTGTCTCATTCTTGGCTCTGTAAGATTGTTTCCAATGTTGATATCATACATTTAAAGTTGAAACCAAGTATAAAAAAATATGGCACAGAGCCAAAACCCCATAATTGGCCCCTGAAAAATCAAATTACGTATTTGTATTCCCAGCATCATTGGTGGCTCGGGGGGGGGGGGGGGNCCCCCCCCCCCCTCCTCCGTTCGTCTGAAAAAAAGGAGGAAGAAAAAGAGAAGGAAGGAATGGAGGAAAGAAAAAGGAAAGACGCTTAAATTTTGTAATTATTCTTGACGAAATTGACTCAAACTACATGTAAAATGCTTCAACAATTCAAAAACATTCTGGGGGAGGCCCCCGGACCCCCCTCCCCCCAATGCTAGATTTATGGATCCGCCATTTCCCAGTATGCGCAGTTCTACACGTTGAAGGAGGTTGGTAACCAGCAACTAATAGGTATAACGGGAGGCATTTAAAGACAGGGCACCGAATCTTAAGTAAGTAATGTCAATGGAGATATTGCATGTGTGAGGGATTTGCGATTTGACCATTGATTCTTATGTGAAAGTTTGCGAGAAACACGATGGTGCCACTGGTTTTCCCTGAAATCATCTCCCAAGCTCAAAAAAAGCTCTCAAAATGAGGCCAAAATGGAGGGGGATATCCCACCCTACCCTGAGAGTCCACCTCTACATCAAAACGAACTCTCTATGCAAAGATAGGGAGCAAATACATTGACACGGCTGCCACTTTTATTTGGGGACTCCAAAACTGAAAACACGGCAACCCTGCTAATGTATTTGCTCCCTTTCTTTGCATGGAGAGTTTGTTTTGATGTAGAAGTGGACTCTCAGGGTAGGGTGGGATATCCCCTCCATATTGGCCTCAAGTTGAGAGCTTTTTTTGAGCTTGGGAGATGACTTCAGAGAAAACCAGTGGCACCATCGTGTTTCTCGCGAACTTTTGCATAAGAACCAATATTCAAATCGCAAATCCCTCACACATGCAACATCTCCATTGACAGGAGACAAAATTATCTCAGGGTCTTTCCCTAACATCCTGGGTGAATGAAAATAGGGATAGTTATAATATGTTTATTTTAGCTGTGGAAATAATTACAGTATTTATATCAGAATTCCTCCGCCATTTTCCTCCACACCAAACTGACAAAAACTTCCGAATCCAACGTCCTTTGCTGAAACCTTCTAGATTTTAAAAGCACTGTTTAATTTTTCTCTCGCTTTTAGTGTATTTTCCGAAGGAAAGATACACTATTGCGTTCTTCCTCATGGTGGGACCTAGACCTGGGACCATGTAAAGAGCACCGATCTCGAGTCGTAGATCACGAATTTATATGTCATTCATTTTCTGTCATATACATATGTATGTATGTATTTCAGCCAGCGTGAGGATTTTTCAGTTTTCAGAGCGTTGAGCAGCAGTTAATTTTTTATGCTGCAATGTGCCAAAATATAGATGATGTTATGTTTTAATAGTGTGTCTAATCAGACTCTTACCAACATTATTTTGTTATAGTTTTAGATACAGCGGGGCAGGAAGAATTTAGTGCCATGCGTGAGCAATACATGCGCTCTGGAGAAGGATTTTTGTTGGTATTCTCTGTCACAGACCATGCCAGTTTTGATGAAATGTACAAGTTCCATAGGCAAATACTGCGAGTAAAAGACAGAGATGAATTCCCTATGCTCATGGTCGGGAACAAGGCAGATTTAGAGCACCAAAGACAGGTGAGGCCAAGTACCATTCCTTTTTTAATCAACTAGCCTGCAGGGTGTCTACTAGTCCGACATTTCCGGAAATAGTGCTGATTTTTTAATGGCGGTCCGGAAGTATTGAAAAAGTGCGGAAATTCCGCGAATTTCGTCATTCGAATTTCGTCAAATGGAGGCACTGAAAAAGCAGTGAATTTTTCTGTTGAGGAGATACTGAATTTCTCGGGAACGTACTGGAAAAGTACCTACTGATTTCTGACCAGCCTGTTTTGGTAGACACCGACACCCCGGCCTGCTTCTTAATCATGAAGTTTGATCAGTGAATATTTTTTCTTTAGGTATCAAGTATCTAATCTTGTAACAATTATTAGTGCAAGGCTCAAAAGCCTCAGTTGATCTAGCTTATAGTCTTTTAGATTTCTCACATAAAACTGACTTGTCCATTCAGGGTGTTTAATAAAATTGTATTTCCCCTCTCCCTAACTTTTCAGGTTTCCTGTGACCTTGCGATTTTCCTTCTCCCTGACTTCCCTAATTGAGGAGCGTTCCGGAAAAGGGGCACATACGCGTATGTGCCCTTTTTCCAGAAATGGCAGAAACGGATTCCTCGCATCCTGATGTACCAATGTCCCGAGTTTCAGCTTAATTGATCAATTTTTGGAGTTAAGAGACCAAGTTTTGTGAGGCTAAGTCAGGCGTATTTCATCTTTTTGCCCCTGGGTACGGTCGCCGCGACGCAACGTGTTGAGGAGATAGCGCGCAGGGCGCAGGCAGGCAGGTGATGGGTACTGATATAAGAAAGGATCCCTCATTACAGATGCATCGCACTGATTCTACTAATCAATGCAATATCATCGGGTTGCAGTGATTGTCTACGCGTTTTACCGCGCGGTGACACGTGAAATTCTGTAATTATTAATAATTCAATTTTTAATGGTCTCTTGTGGGTTTTAATTTTTCGATTTTTTCGCGTGTTTGGCTGTCTTTTATGTTAACGATGATCGAAAATGACCCACCCGCACGTTCGCGATCGAAATTATGATTTATTTTCGTTTAGAAACTCGTTAAAGTCTTGAAAATTTAGCTTTGAAAGCCAAAACCTATAACCACCGGTCCATTTCCGGAAAAAGGGCACATAACGGAAAATTTTAAAAAATTCCTCCCACAACACTGAAAGAAGTGTAAGTTTTACCAATGGTCTTTATTCATTCTAGGGTGTATGAACGTTGATATTAGTGCCCCAGTTTTGATGTATGTCATCATCAGCCCGCCCAGAAAGTAGGAATGAAAACTGCAAATGCGTTTTTCTCACAACTTGTTTTTTCGGTTTGTGCCCTTTTTCCGGGAAGCTCCTCAATTTTCCCTGATTTTTTTTTCCAAATGAAAAGAAACTCGAAAATGAATAGGACTCGACGCAAAGCATCAAAACAGACTGGAAGAAAACTGTTTGAGGCTTAGCGTAAAAGTGCTGTGCTGTGACGTTATGCAAAACATGTAAATGTTACAACTCTCCCGGTTATGCATTTACTTTCCCTGAATCTCCTTAATTGCTCGATCAGTTTTATCTCCTTGGCTTTCCCGATCGCTAGACACCCTTGTCAATCGTCAATTAATATCGAATAGAGTCACCAAAATCTTGTGTAGAGGTCTTCGGAACGTATAGTAATGATTCTAGTCATGATTTCTTCATTGGCTGGTTTTTTTTTTTTTTTTTTTTTTTTTTTTTTTTTTGCAAAGTATACAAACCATCGAGTTATCCCTAAATGGGTTTTAAAGATCAATTCATTCAAGAGATTGTCTGTCAACTAATAGATATATCAGTCCAATATCCGCCTACCTGACAAAAATGAATTGCACCCTGGCAGCTTTTACTTGAGGAATACTTAACCAATGATCCTCTTGATTTTTTAGCCAGCAACTAAATTTTCAGTCTCATTGGTCTCTCACACTTTATATTCGTTGAATTCGCATCACTCATATTGTTCTTCGGAATGAGGATTGGTGATCATGAAAATTTCTTTAGTTAGAGGTTGAAAAAATTAAAATAACAACATGAATTAGTATTTTTGCATACATTTCTATCGAATTATCTTCTATTTTCTCTTGGGGGGGGGGGATACATATGTATATATGTCTGCTTATTATAAAAATCCAACTTATTTCAAAATTTATATTCCATTAACTTTTTATTTTATTTTTTTTCTTTCCAGGTATCTACACAAGATGCACAAAATTTAGCCCGCCAATTAAAAATTCCGTACATTGAGTGTAGTGCTAAAGTTCGAATGAATGTGGATCAAGCATTTCATGAACTCGTCAGAATAGTACGAAAGTTCCAGCTCTCCGAAAGACCACCTCTCAAACCTCCCAGTAAAAAGAAACCAAGGTGTCTCATTTTGTAAACTATGTTTAAGCAGGTTTGATACCTCATGTATAAATAGGATCCGGTGACCTTTAGTTAATTACTGCAACCTGACCTCCAATCGGTAATTCGATAAACTCACCTAACTGCTCTGTACGCTGTAATATTTATCTTAGGCTAGTATTTATATGATGTCACTACCAACCTCTTGCATGAAATTATTTGTATTGAAACAAAAAGGTAAATTATGGATTGTCGAGTACCTAGCACAAGAGATTTAGTTTTAAGAGGTTTGCAATTCGTCTATAATGTGTGAGTAAATTTTCTCAAGGGAGAATTCTCATCTACTTTTTGAAGTATGTTTTCATAAAAATCGTACAATATAAGCAATGGAGAAATAACCCTCTATTTTACAAAGGTCGAAATTGAAATTAAGCTTAGCTGCAAAGGGCGTATTGGTTTAATTTTTTTTTAACACATAATGCACAAAATTATCAAATTCAAGTTTTTGTTAGTGGTCCTTCCATAATGATTAGCTTCAAAAAGTATTGACTTTCGAAAGTCGAGGCAAGCGTGAAAATTCCTACAATGCCATCAGACAAGTAGCTTAAACTTTGTTCAGGGTGCCCTCTAAAAACTGCAACTCTTGAGAAGTTGCTTTGTAGAGGACAAGTTCTAGTAAATTCAGAGGTTAATGAGCCCTAGCCATCCCTAGGTTTACCCGTGAGGTGTATCGTATTAATATAAATATTCACTCAGCTAACTGCTCAGGGTCACCATCCACATGAAAGTGGAGTGAAAAAGGAGGAGCAAAATAAATATATAAAACTGTGGATAAAACACCCTAATCAATAAATAATGTCTGTTACGCACAATTTTATCATTCAGGCTCACTGTTTTGAGGTCTCCCAATCAAAAGAAAAGCCTACCGTGTCAATGCACATCACTAGCACAATTGAATGTTTCAACAGGGAATTGTTGGTATTCATTCTCTCTTGTTTGAGGGTTTACAGCAAATTTCAATCATATTTTGAAAGAAAAGTGTGGTATACCCTCAAAAATGCTTGTAGATCATACCATAATGTCGTGTATTGCTGTTGTCTTCTTCACATTCTATGTGACAGTCGCAGAAAAAATGGATAGTCACCATTGACTCACTGCCAACTGTGTACATGTGTGTTTGGTCAGAATGTAACCGTGATGAAATCGGTAGTGGCTTGAAGCATACAAAACTTCGTTGTAAACACTAGAAATTCCTTTAAGGAACGAACGTAAGAAGTATCTGTGAGGGTCTTTTTTTTTTTCTTTCTTACTTTGCAGTGCACATCACACTTTTTTTTCTCCTTCCATGTCTTAATATATTCAGTACAACTTATTGCATTTACATAAATTTAACAAAAAGGTAGTTGCTATTTTTTTCTCTAACCCCAGTAGCTGAACAATAAAACGAGTTATTACGAACTGTTGCCAATTACCAAATTAAGATAAACAAGTCACAATATAAACAGAGACTGAACCCCTATCACCGTTTATGTGCAATGAGCTTGTTAAGTAATTTTGTATTGTTATATTTTGAGAAGTAGAGAGTGAACTTAGTTCACAGAAATTATCCTCGATTTTTGTGGTTGAAATGAACCCATTAAAAAGTTAAAAGTTGCATATTTTGAGCGCCCATTTCAACGTGTATTCTATTCCCCAAAAAAGTCAAGATGGTACACAAAAATATATCCCTCTTGTCGTGGTCCTTATTCTAATTTTACCGTGCTAAGGAAGAACGCTGTATGAACATTCAAGAGTTGCCTTTGATAAAATGTTTATTTTTGAAAAAAGTCAACAATATTTTTCCTTGAAATTTTCAGGAACTTTAGAACAAAATACTAACAAAATTCTCCGAAAAATTTAAAGAAAAATATTCATAAGTTCACCAGAGAATTCGTGCTTTATCAAAGAAAATTTGGCAATACCTCGAGGTTCATACAGCGTTTTTCCTTAGTGTGGCAGAATTACACTTGCCTCTGTCGCCATCCATAGTTCATGCAGCTGTTATCAATGCTCAGCTGCACAGACTACTTATATATTTTTGCAGCGATCAACTTGTGATTAAAATTGTATCAATTTTTGCGACCGATAGGAATATTTTCAGACACCATCGGCTTTCTCAGTGATGTGCGTTTGAATGAGACTTATCTGTGAAGTCGTCTTTCAAGGACTGTATTATCCAGAAAACTCTGGGAAGATTTCTCTAAAATAAGTGCCCTTTTCAAAAATGCAACAATTGTAAATTCCTGAAGAAGTTCATTATCCCCCAAATTTCAAAGTTGCCCACAGATGGAATGTTTTCGGATAAATAAAAATGTGGAAGGTATTAAAATAGTGAAATTCACACTCATTGCACCAAATCAATACTAATAAAAAACTCATAGCAATATGTATCATATTGTGAATTTATTATTTGGGATCAACTTGTATGTAGTATATTGCAGATAATTTTTTTCTTTGGGAGATGAGGGTGCTCCCTTATTGATCTTGTAGTTTTTTCTGTGATTTCTCATCTGGAGATTTTGAGACGAAGATATGATTTTGTGTGCTTTTGAAAAATACACTTTTTCTTCTTTCTGGTTAACTCAGCTGTAATCTAATTTTTTGTCATAATGTGATGGTCATTCAAAACTTGCATCAGTTCTACCTACTAAGAGACCTACAAATTTTGGTTTCTAATCTTCTAGGCATGGAACTATCTGATATGGATACTTTGCTTGTTTGGGTAATCATTTGAAGACAAAAACATTAAAATGTGGCCGCAATACTGAAAGTACCAAGATGGTAGAATAGTGCTGGGTCCACAGTAATTAGTCCATAGTGCATTTCCTTAGCACTTAAATGTATCTGTTTGAGCTTAGCCTCCTCCCCCCAGTGTGGCATTGAAACTCAACAGAGGTCATTTTGTGACTCTTATTCTAATATTTGGATTTTTTGGCTTTGATTTCCTTGCAAAATAGTGTCGGCCTACCAATATTCTACCTGCCTGTTACTTACAGTAATCGTTTTTTAAAAGTGACAAATAAAAACCTTAAATGTAGTGCTCCTAAGCAGCAAGTCTCATTTGTTGTTATTGAATGAGATTCCAATCGTGCAAAAATTTTGAAACTTCTGTGCCAACTTTGGATTTTAATAGATAAGTGTAATTTTTCACATAAGTAGGTATTTTTTTTCCTTTCTTTGAAATCCTTCATAAAATATTAGGGTGTTTTTGCAAATTTTGATGTTTGATTAATGAATCACCTCTTCCAGGTGCCTTAAGGCACAATTGATCATTATCAAAATATGTATTTATAAAAAATCATAGTAATTTAATTTTTCAAGTAGGTGCATAATACTACTTAATTCTATCTTAAGGTAGAAAGGAAAGGAACACTTACAGGCCCCCATAAGTGAAAATTTCAAACTTTTTTGTGGAAAAATTCACTATCCTTTTATCTCTTGGTAGTCAAGAGAATCTCCAAAGCTATTGCTTTATTTTATTTTCCATGTTTTATTCTTACTTTTTCTTTGTATAAAATTGTAACAACCTACTCTACTTAAAATTGATCAAACAGAATCATTATTAAGCTTTTATTTTATTTATTTTTTCTTTTTTAAGACTGTTGTATACTTATTTACTTTTTCATTTATTTTCCTCTCCTTTTTTTAAAAAATGATGTTAACTGCTGTGCTGAAATCTTTGAATGTTTTATTCAGTGCCAAAGTCCTCAAGAGCTCAGAATTCATGCTTGTGCTTTTGTGCCTGAGTTTTCTTTTAAACTAGTCTGCAGACATGCTTGCTTCAATGTGCACCAATAATTTATGAGAGAGGGAAAAATATGTGTAATTTAAGTGAGGTGAGATGTTTCACTCTCAATTTTGAGAATTTATCTGTGGCAAAATAATATTTTCCAACTTTCAGATTTGTTTTCGCTTACTTTTGTCGAAGAAAACTCTGGTTTGGCCTTTCCAAAGAATGCACCAATGTGACAATGTTGAAACAACCACCTGATTGTGAATTGCTCTTTAACTATTTTGTCAGAGCTTAAGAAAATGTGGTCCAGTTATTGTTTTCATATGAGCAAAGAATTGTGGAAAAAATATATATGATTGAGTATACTTGAAGGACCATTTGGAAAGAAGGCACGTGTGCATTTTTTGCCGCTGAAATTGTGTAGATTTTGATGCGTTTCTTTGTCAGAGAATCCTTCAGGCTGCCCTTTCTCTGAATGGTCCTTCACATATTATCAGCTTTTACCCACATTGAAGTTGTGCATTGGAACTAAGTAAGTGCCCAACTTAGGTTCTTATTCTCGATGATAAAAGCTTTGGCCTTCATTTCATTGCCATCTTGCTTGTGTGAATGGACTGCACTGTATTTTACTCAATTGCTGAAATACCTAACTTGTCTTCTTCACATTGCAAGGAAACATTGTTGAATAATTATTGATTTTATTGCCTTTTAAAAATGTATGTATGTTTAAGTTTACATTCTTCAAGTAGAGATCAGCACTCAAAGATGTCACTTAGTCTCTCCTCCTAAGTTTGCCTTTTCATGGACTGATCAGTTGCTTCATTTGTGCTTTCAATCCTCTTTCAATGTTAAAACTCAGTTGTTTTCTTGTATGTAGGGACCATGCACCAGAACTCGTTTCAGATGAGTGTTTCTTATTCGAATTTCAGTTCTTATCTTATTCAATATGCTGCTAGGGCATTCTTATCTGGTATAACAAACTACCATAATGTTAGCCGGTCATATAAGTTATAGGACATTTCTGATTGTATTTAATCATTAGTTGTGTCGTGGAATGAAACTCTAATGTTCACGTCTTTTAAATGAATAATTGAATGTATGAATGATTTGACAATAACTATATTTTCAGGAAAACCAAAATTAGTAGTCCCTTCATCAAAAGCAAGGGGTGAACACGCTCTAAACCAATTCTGGTTTTTCTGGTTTTTTCTTTTGTATCTCGTTCCTCTGTGCAATTTGCTGTTACTTCTGTAGTAATAATCTGTATAGATCACCAACGTTCCCTTCTCATAAACAATGGGGTTTCTTTCTTCCTTTAGCTATGAGTGAGAAATGGTTGGATTCAATTTAATTTTTCCTTTGTTGCACATTTTTTATTACAGCATCCTGCATGAGCTTTTTAACGTTTTTAATTGTGTGAATCGGTAAGTTGCAATGACTTTCACATTTAATTTTTAAGTTTGCTTAATATGAAAGAGCTGACAGTTTAATCAAGATGCTAATCTAACCATTCTGATGAAGTGGATCTGAGTTGAGTTGTGTCACGAAACTTCAAGCTACAAATCATTCGATTTTAAATTTTTGTTGAGGAACGCCCTTGTATTGATTCCACTCACAATCAGTTTTGTTTTATTTGCAGTGAATACTATTTTATTACTTATCAGTGAATCTCACCTTGGTTGTTGCTCAAAATACAGAATATCTCTGTGCTCTCGAATGAGTATATTACCATTGTAGCCATATGTAATACCTCAAGACTCATTATATTGGTGTGATAACTTATTATGATGTACCTATTCTAGTACCTCAAAATATTTATGAAAAATACAAAGCTCTGTAATGACAAGTAGTCTTCTAGCTAAAAAATTAAGAAACGTTCAAATTTCATTTGATTCTAAATTTTAATATTATGCACTTACAAAATGACCTGCTCTAAATTAACCCTGCAACATCACAAATCTTTCGCAAAAGCTCAATTTTACTCTCCCAATTTAAACTTTCACTATTTCTAAAATACAACCTATTTATCTTATACACCCTGATGAAAACGTTATCATCTCAAACGTAAACTCATTTTTTCTGTGTAGGAGTATTGATAGTCAAAATCTTACTCGGAGTATTGTTTGTTGCAATCTGTTTACTTTTTATTTTTTCCCCTCCCGGAATTCCAATTAATTTCTATTTATGGAAAGCTGTCGTTTTCTTTTAGTTTATTTGTGTTGAATTCTCCGAAAATGCTTAAAAATGTTCGTTGTTGGACACCTCACGTTTTACCAAGTACACTGTGAATAGGAATTTCGCAATGTATTAATTTTAATTTTACTTTAGAACTTAAGACATGAATATCTAGTTTTTGCCTTTCTCTCTCTCCTTCTCCTGTGTTTTCATCTCAATGGGCATACTTTTGAACTTCTAACCCCAGAATACCTCATGAAATGTGAAAGACTTTAACAACCAAACTCACCATTACAATAGTTTTTGAGAAAAAGCAGTAAAATTTGATGTATTGTTTTTTTAGAAAAATTTTCCGTTAGTATCTGTCCGTATCTTTTTTGAAAATCTTTCATCAAAGATTTGTATGCAATGTCTTTTCTCTCATTTTGCCATTGCATCTGAGATCTGATGTGTCCGGAAGTGCCTTTCATTAAGAGTCCTTCACAGCCCAATCCAAATGTAACCATGTACATTTTAATCCTTAAATTTCAAACTTTGCTAATGCATCATCAAGATTAATGAGCAGTCTGACACAAAAATATATTGTCCTCAAATAATGTTTTCCACACCTCTTTGCAACAAAAAAGTCCGTGCTGCAAACTTAGTCTCACACCTTTTGAGTCCTCAAGTTTCTGTCTCAGATGAAACCATCCTACAAAACACTCCTGAGCTGTAATTGTTTTTCAGTCATAAAATCTGTCACAAGCCCTCTTAGAATAATTACGGTATGGATTTGGACCTTTGGAAACATTTTGCCATCACTCCTCAAAGTGATTAGATTGACTACCTCAATGAAAGATATTGGAATAAGTATTTTCAATAATAATGCAAGCATTTTTAAAAATCAAGTTATTTTTTTCGTTTTCTTTTTTTTCCAATCATGGCTATCTATTCTTGAACTCTTTTCTGTCTGTAAGTTATCTTCAGGATCTTAATTATGGACACATTTCATACATTCAACTTTTTTCGTAAGAAGTTCATTAATTACTTATGTATTGCGAATTCAATCCTTATCCCTAGATGGTTTCTTAATCATTCCGAGTAGGGTAGAATTTTAATGCACAATGTCAGTAATGGTTTAAATTAACATAATTTCAACGGGGCATTAGAAAAATATATAGGTATCCCAATATTGATGTGTTGAAATGTACACCCTTATTGGCATTAAAAAAATCATTACCTTATTTTTATCAGATGAGCTTAAAGTGAATGGTCACTGTTGATCTATTAGATCAATTTTGATCCCATAAAGGCTTGCTTCTTTGTTTAACCAGTTTTAACTTTGCCGGAACAACCTTCCAATTTCAACCAAACCAAATAATAGACATACAAGATCTTTTGATGTGTGCTCATTTTTTAATATAATGCACAATTTGGATGACATTGTTTTTGTGCTCTAGCAGTTTCTCTAAAAGAGATTTCCTTCAAGATTTTTGGTTTGTAAAAAAAAAATTATACACTCCCTTCAGTAGTAGCTGTATGTATTGTGAAAGAGTGTATGATCTAACTTCCGTAGGAGTCATTATGTTCTACAGCCGAAAGTTTGTAAATTTTAGTGAGTTATAAGTAAGTGCATATACTTTATTACCTTAAGTAGCATTGTATTTTTCAATGTAAAAATAATGTATCAGCCAATGAAAAAGTGCCTTATTTACGAACAAATCAACTGCCAGGCTAGTTAATTAAGTCAGTTATAGTATCTCCATCCTGAGTTCTGTCTATGATGGCCGTAAGTATTTACCAAGAACATATTAGTGTCGATTCAATGTAATTGGTAAGGAGAATTGTATGGCATTATCTTTTGTTATGATGTTTTCAATATTTTAGAGAACTATCCTCATCTAATTATTAGCTCACTACGGCCTGGCAGTTACATGTTAGTACTTTTTTTCACTGTACCATTATGTCTGCTTCCAGCTGAATTTTGTCCGTATTCAGGGTGTCTACTGGTACCTCATCACTTAAATCCTCACTTTTTCAGGAGCCTCTCCGAATTGTTCTCTTACTTTCCAAAAAATTCCCCTTTCTTAAGATTTCCATGAATCCTCACTTTTCTTACCTTGCAAACATTTTGAGCTCTAACTAGAACAGTTTTTCGCAAAGGAAAAAAATGCGAAATCAGATACTGGAATATAAGAAAACTTCAGGAATGAACTGAACGAAGAGAAATTCAACTGAGATTTAGGAGGAACTTAATTTAATGAATTATGTTCAGAAATTTCATGTAATGGCTGCTTTTTACGTTCATTGCAAATGTTTTTTTATTGCTTCTCCGTTCTTTGAAAAGTTCCATAAGTTTACTCTACTTCTGCACCGACTTTTAAAATTAAGTGCTTTTCCAGAGTAAACATGTTTTTGTACGGTTAAACACTTCGGTTTTCAAATGATTTTCCTTCATCGAGATTTTGAATTTTTTGGAGTCCATCAATTTTGAACTGTAAAAAACAAGCAAAAGGTGCTGGGGGCATCAGGTGAATTATCACACTCCTTTGCAATAGGTATGTCTTAAAAAAACATGATATTCTCCTAGAGTTTGAGTCATCCTTGCATGGATGATTTCATTCCTACTTTAAAGGTTTGTAAGCGCATTTTGCTGAAAAATCACTAAAAATGTTGACGCGCGCATCATTTCAAGTTCATTAATCCAGAGATTAAAATTGAAATGAATTCAGGTCCAAAATATTCAAGGTGATCTTTTTTTTTTGTTTTTTCATGCGAAAGCCTCTGTATAATAGTTGTCACTTTTCTCCATAATACATCTTATCAATTAAACTAGCAAATTTTAAACCATTTTTTAAGGACTTAGCCTCCAGATTTCTACTGTTGGTGCTGTAAATTATAAGGGAGCCGAAACATTAGTGAAGCTTTGCAATTGTCAATCTACAAGAAGTCGTTAAGTCCCTTTCTTAAAGACTTCGATGCCTCGATGATGTAGCCATTACCATTCTTCCTGTATACTTATTTTCTAGGTAGCTAATAATGAAATTTTGCATTAATTGTCTAAAAGTTAATCAGCTATCTAGTTGTTCATGTTTTTTCATTTTATTGTTTTATTTTAACACATAATTTTATGATTTTTACAATATTTCTGATTAAATAATTTAGAATCTCAAATTATCTTCTTCCTTATCTTGCACTACCTGAAGCAACAAGCCTTAATAGTAGGTAAATATAGGAACTGTTCATAAAATATGTAACGCTGTAAAAGGAAGGATGGTTGCGGAGAGAGTTACGCTATTTTGGTTTTACTTGTTAAAGGGTATCGAAATTTAGCCATACGTATTTCATGAACGTCCCCATTTCTCCATGGTCCATGCAACTTCTATTTTAATAAGAGCTGGGTGAACCTCAAAACATGGGTACAAGCCAAACCTTTTAAAAAATATCTGAACCTCGAACTGCCCATGAATGCCGCAATAATTCCAATCAGTGGCTGGTCCAAAAATGAAAAAATGAGCCACTCTTTCGTTTGAGAGCTGAAAAGGAAAAAGAAGGACACTCCTAAATCACAGTATTGTATGGCTAGGTGAGAATAAGACTCCCTCATTGGCCAGACACAAAAAGGTATTGTTGTCCTCATTGACGCTGACTAACAGCTATTGACTCAAAATTGCACCCTAATATCAATATTGTGTAAAACCGGTATCATAAACAGCGGACTAACCTCACTGGTCTCAGATATTTTTGCAAAGCCACACGTCAAAAATTCAACAGTCTTAAGAGTTGGTTCCCTTTGAACAACAAACCATCACACCATCGTACTTACCACTGACATAAAGATTTTTAGAATTCCAAGAACGGCTCTGACGATCAAGAGCGAAGAATCTAGACATCAGATTATACCCAAGAAAAACATTAATAGGTTACTTGCATTGTAACTGGAGTGGAAGAGCAAAATTTTCCAAGAAAACAAGAATTGCTGAGACTTGCACAAGATGTACATATCGACGGTGAAACTACCAGACCACGTATCTCGTTTGTGGTGTTTAAAACTCTCCACTCACATTTTATTTTTTTGAAGGAGATCAAATCAATATCATTCCTTACGATTTTCACAGATTTTTCTCCGAACAAAGAGGAAAAATCACGGAAGTTTTCAATTGACGTTGAGTACCTAATTTTCTATTTCAAATTTAAAGTATGATAAGAAGTCTGCGGCGTCGTAAACCGAGATACGTGGTTTGGTAGTTCCACCGTCGATATTAATTTTAAACTAAGTTCTTTGAGATTAGGTCCTCTGAGATAATGTTTGGGTAAGGAACTTCATGATAAAAAAACAGTAAACAAAGATAGTTTGAGATCATGAGGAGTTTATTTCATTAAGTAATTGCTTAAGGTAAAGAATGCTCACATTTTTTCACATCAATTATTCTTATCGTTGTATTTGGCAGAGTTCGGGATGGAGAAGCAAAAAGAGAAGGCCTGAGAGGAAAGAAAAATTTGTTCGAAGTTTTACTCTTCCATGGGGCTCAATGAAAAGGAACTACTATTAATTGAGGGGCTTGGAGGACAAGGCACCTGTACTTATGAAAGTGCAGTATTGGATAAAATTGAGATACAAAGATTTCAGGTAAAACTAGTCTTAAGGTGATTCGATGGACGCCATATTTTGTGTCAGAACGGCATGCGATATATCGCATCAATTGGTTCCATTTTTTCAGCTACTCGTCATTTTTCTCCAATTTTGAGATCGCAATTTTGTTGTCAGGAGACTAAAGCACTCACTTACCAATTTTAACAAAGAAATTCAACGTAATAAAGGCGTGGTTTTTTAGAGAGAAAATATCGCATTCGAGTGCATTCGATATCGAAACTGCACTCGAATGCGATATTTTCTCTCTAAAAAAACCACGCCTTTACCACATTTATGTTTGTTCTCTCCTAATTTTTTGGTTCATTTTGTTGTTATTCATGAATATTATGTGTACAAGTTAGCAACATTGTGCGAAACCAACCCACCGTAAGGTGCTGCCCCCTAGTGTGACGCTTCTCTCTCTTCTATGTTCTTCAAGTTTTTTTTTTTTTTGTCCTCTCGTTGTTCCGTTCATTGAATCATCATGAATAAATTATCGTTCCCAGCTTTATAACCATGTTTGATGAGTTCCAAATCCCTCTAACAATATTTATTACGTTGAATTTTCTTCCTTAAAATTGGTAAGTGAGTGCTTCAGTCTCCTGACAACAGAATTGCGATCTCAAAATTGGAGAAAAATGACGAGTAGCTGAAAAAATGGAACCAATTGATAAGATATATCGCATGCCGTTCTGACACAAAATATGACGTCCATCGAATCACCTTAATGCATATTCCGTGAAAAATTCGCTCTTAAATTCCAATTTTTAAGCGCCAAAAAGGCAGTTTGAACTTCATCTCCGTCGTAAGGATCTATGTAATTTCCAAACTTTGAACACGCATTTTCCGAAATAGCAAAAACCGCACTAATACGCCTTGTCCTCCAAGCTCCTCCGTTCAAATTTCCGCTTGGTAAAAAATAAGATTACATAAACTTGAAGAAAATTAATCAGAGAATAATATGCTTCTGGCTAAGCCAAACGCTACCATCATCTCAATGATTTTAAAAATAACACTTGATTACTTTTCACCAAACACTGCCAATTAGTCTTCATACATAAAAAAATAAATTAATACATAAAATATAACAGGAAAAAAAATAGATGGTTATCTCGAAATCGCTTACAATAATTAAAGACAAAAAGGTACATCAAAAGGATTCTTAAATGTAAAAAAGATTGGAAAAATATGCCACCACTTAAGTGTCAATAGGACCAATGAAGACCATCCCCTCAAAAAAAGTTAAGAGGAGGATACAGTAACATTTTACAGAAAAAAATGGAACTTTTCACTTACAAATGAAGACACAAACAGCAAAGCATGAATGTTTCAAATTGCTAGCAGTGAATAGGGTAGCAACAAGAATTCAGAGTAAATAGTTCCTTGACTTTCTCAGGTTTCGTCTGACCAATTTTGATTAAGTCACCGACTTCTGAGACTTAACTCAAGGTGATACGTGATAATCTAAAAATCTCCCAATCAAGTTAAGTATTATACAAGTTGAGACCGTGTAATGCAACATGTAAAGCTTTGCTATTTCTGAGGACACTATTCGCAGGACTCTACAGGTGATTGAATATTTATTTCTAGTGTATTATTCCCACCCTGGTTACGGAAATGATGCCATTAAAACGCGTTGGTTTTCAGCGATCGGTAGAGTGGGATACGATTACGGAAATATCGCAAGTGCGACTGCCATGTGCAGATGACGGGTGTGAACATGTGAGATCGTGCCATCAATCAAATCATTTTCTCGTTCAAAGTTCCGAGAAATAGTGTGCTATCACTGAACACTAGCAATGCCAAAAACAAATGGTGAGACAGAGGCAGGAGCACCATTCTTCAGCTCAGCCAAAGCGGCGGCCAAGCGGCCAGGATCGAACCGCTGGAGATAGTGGCTGGAGCCAACATCGCGGAACGTTGGGAAATATGAAAATCGAAATTTTAAATATTTATTTGTGCAAAAACTTATGACGGTGAGTCGGATACAAGAAAGAATTGCTTGTTACCCCAATTTCTCGATGATGACGCATATCGACGGTGAAACTACCAAACCACGTATCTCGTTTGCGGTGTTTAAAAATCTACGCTCACATTTTATTTTTATGAAGTAGACCAAATCAATATCATTCCTTGAAATTTTCACAGAATTTTTCCCACACAAAGAGGAAAAATCACAGAAATTTTCAAGACTGGACGTTAAGTAGTTTTTCATTTAAAAAATAAAGTATGACAGGAAGTCTGCGACGTCGCAAACCGAGATACGTGGTTTGGTAGTTTCACCGTCGATATAGCATATACACGGTGTACCAACTAAGTGGCGACAAACTTTCAGGGGTTGTTCTACGGCTCAAAATAGACGGGAAAGTTCTTTCCCAAAATCATTTAAGATGCATCGTCCTCGAGTTACGGGGAGTTCAATGTTTGAAAAAAAAAAAAAAAAAAAAAAAAAACCGTACGTCTTCGGTTATGACGTCACAATGGCTATCCTAATTGTCGGAACCCAAAAACAATCGTGGTTTCGTACAGCACTCATCAAGATCTTAAAAAAAGGCTCCTTCGTTTTTTTCGTAAAACCCCTCCTAATAAAGTCATTGACCGCTGAAAAACATACCGTTTTACCGTACGTCCTGACCTACTTAATTTGCGACGTGCGGTAATAGGGTAATTTTTTTTAGCGGTCAGGGACAAAGTCCATCGCCTAAGCTGCCACGTGAATGTCTTCGGCTGGAGCCCGGAGCCGGACCACCCTCCCCGGGCAAAAGTCATGGCCCTGAACCGCGAGCTCGCCATAACCTGCATATGAAGTTATATCTGTTCAAAAATTTACTCTTAACGGCCACCTCCAACACATGTCTTTTGGGCACCCCTGCTGGCAGCCATGTTGGTGTAATGTTTTGTGGTGATTGGGGTGCTATGAAGGGGAAAAGCAGAAGAAGAAGTAGAAGCAGCAAGCAGCTTGCAGGTTCGCAAGCAGCTTGCAGGTTCGCAAGCGCCGATTCCCGCAAATTTTCTCTGATAAACCATCGCCAATCTGCCAATTCTCAATTTTTCAGGCAAAAGCTGGAGCCGAACATTTCTCCGTCAAGCGGCGAAGGTACGTAAGAAATGAGGAGTAGACTGTTTTTCAACTGACTCTTTAAGTATCAATTTGTCTATGTCCATTCTTTTCAGAGCAAGCACTCCTTCAGATATGAGCAATTCAAGTATTTATTTCAAGAGATGATCGTAAACATTCATATTACACCCGGTTGGGGTCAATGTCAAGCTTACAAGGGAATTTTTACCGTATAACTAAGGTTTTGAGATCCCGATGAATCCAAACTGTCAGCCTTGGGACCTCCGCCTAATAGTTGTTTGTGTACTTGTTTCTATCTGATGCCCATTCTTTTAATGTATGATACCCACAAGTTTGTACTACATTCAAAAGCTTCGCTCAGTCCAACCCTCGACTGGCAGTTCATGAACACCCTGCCAGACCTAATCAAATTTCGCTCTTCGCTCCGACACTGAACGTACCATTACACCGCAGTTTTAATTTTGCCGAAATGAGCCACAATACCCAGCAGAGTTCTACCATGAGAACCTGTCTGACTTTATTCGGCTTATGACGGTCCCATTTGTCTGTTGCACAGTATTTGTCAACATGCTTGTGTGTCATTTTGTCACTGGGTGATTTCATGATAACAGGAATAGTCGTGTCGCCGAGGGTTTTCAACAACTTGAGGGCAAAACGATAGAAATCCAAGGTCCTAAATCAATAGAAATGATGTCCCTGAACTTATCCATACTGAAAAATATGATAAATTTTGCTTATATTTAATAATATGACACTTTAAAAGCTGAATATGTCCAGTCAGTTACGCTTCGCCAACCCTGATTTTGAAACAAATGAAAGAACTTGCTTGAAAAAGAATGTCCTCTCCTAACAATCGTGAGTATCTCTTAAGAGACATTCGCCTTTAGTAGAGAAAAGAAAGCATGAAAGGAAATTTTCATACTTTTATAATCTAAACCTTTATCTCTTAAACAATGATAATCATGCTTGAACCAAGTTAAACTGCCACCGTACGACTAAATTGACAGTCTGTATTTATCTCTTATTTATTCATTTGTTTTTTGCTGTAAGATTTTATGTTAATCCACAAAGAAAAAGGAAAAAATTTACGTTTTGTATGTACTACTTTGAAATTTTCTATCCCCATTTCAATTTGGAGCAGTGCATGTATTCTGGTGACGTTTTGTTTACTTCACTTATACCTCCGGTAAACATTGAATTAATTGGTGCACTGTAGAAGTCTTTCGAAAGAATTATTTCATGCATGTTTTTTCATGCATGTTTCGTGCTCTGCTACCACACTAACCAGTAACGGCAGAGTTCGCTCCAGATTCAGATGATCTATCCGACCGAACTTTAAAATTCTTTAATTATGTGTCAGGTTCAACACATAAAGTCTGTCTTTGTGTAACCTTTTAGTAATGGTTTTTTCCCCGTTTTCTGGTAGTTTCAGAGGAGCAATGGATTCCCCCACTTTTTGTCGTCTATTAAAAACTTTAGCTGACAATCCTCAGGTTGTAGAATCTCTTCTTGCTTCAGCTGCTGCGTCTTCAGCGCCATCATTGGTAGCGGTTTCTGTACCTTCTCAAAATGTGTCGCCAGCGCCTGCACTCTATATACCTGTGGTGGATCCACCTTCAAGTACATCAACGGACTGTCTGAGGCAGCCGTGAAATCCGCAAAAATTCAACTCACGAGAGTAATGCAAGGTCAATAGCTGACGCTCAGCGAATTCCGCTCTTTGACGGTCAGAGTTGAGGCCATGCTAAACTCGCGTCCCTTGACTCCGCTCTCCAGCGACCCCAATGACCTGGCTCCCCTCACGCCTGCCCACTTTCTAATAGGAGAGTCATTGACTGGAATTCCAGAACCAGAGCACCCTTCAAACAAACTACCCTTAAAGCGCTGGCATCGCGTCCAAGCAATGGCGCAAGCTATCTGGCGCCGTTGGACAGATGAATACCTAAGGACGCTGAATCGGCGGCCTAAATGGCTCGAACCTACCGAACCATTGAAAACAGGCCAATTAGTTTTAATTCAAGAGACCAACTCTCACCCTGTGAACTGGGCCATGGGTAGAATTATCGAGACGTTCCCTGAGACGGACGGTCAAGTGCGAATCGCCACCGTTCGCACCTCCCGCGGAGAATTTAGACGTCCTGCAGTGAAACTCTACCCCCTTCCGGGGGCAAACTCCCAATAATTTTGTCTTTGCCTGTCAGAGTTGCCATGGACCAACGAGATGTCCTGGACATTGAGCTAGACAAGTTCTTCCAGCTAGGTTCGTCACCAGAGCAGAATGAACAAGTACTTCCCTATGGAACGCCGTTGGTGTCCAAACTCAGAAGTGAGAGAACAAGGCGGAGCCGCTGGGAACACAACTGCGAAGTCTGAGAACAAAGGCTAAAAGCTGAGAAAACGTGAACCGAGACTTAAAATACGAAACACACTATGCTGTGTTGCCGGTTGTAATCGTTGGCTATTGAACACCTATCGAAAGCTAATCGAAAGAAAATATGGAAAATATCGTTTTTCGTTTATCGATTTCTCTCGGGCAGTGAGGTGAGGTTATGCAAGGTTATGTTTGGGCCATACTTGTGTCTTGTGTAAATGAAAGTGAACAGTATTTTTCGTGATATTCTCACGTGTCGGAAAATTCGCCGAGAAAAGTTAGGAAAAGTGTTTGAGGTAGAGTCCCTTGTTTGAGGAGATTCTGCCAAAGAAGTCCTCTAAAAGTGATTATCATTGCCAGTATGCTCGTTCATTTGAACAGTGAAAAATGATCTTGGAAGATGAGACCTTCGTTTATCTAATTAAGCCTACCTAACCAGATAGTATTTTCTAACAACTCAAAAAAAAAAAAAAAAGGTATTTTTCGTTTAATAAAGAAAGACTTTTAAGGGTCATCCATCGCATTCATCAGTGCAATTTCCTCTAATAAGGAGCCATACTTTTGTAGTTGAAAGTTCGTGCCGTCTATGAAGAATCAGAGCCTCAGCCACACACTCAATCAATGTGAAACGTAAGTAACTATTATTTCTTCATCAGCCTCTGAACCGTAGTCAAGTAAATTGGTGGACATAATGGCCTTTTCAGAATGACTAAATGATTTATTTTATTTTATATTTCAATGCACCTTGTTTGTTTCTGGGGTAATCAGTGAAATTACATACTTCTTTTCCTATTTGCTGGACCTAACCACTGAGAGCTAAGTCAAAAGTCTGACAGCCTTGTCAGCATGTATTCAAACATTTGACCAAGTTTGACTTACTAACTTGCTCGGACAAATTGTCTGTGAGCATCAATCTGCCCCCTCCGTATAGTTGCCGAACGACCGATGTTTACCCGAGTTAAAGGTAACCCTGTTCTCCTCCAGTCTGAATGAGATCCAGTTATGAATTTAGTCTGAACCTTGTGATTTATAGGTATAATCTCCATTAAATGGGTACTTCTTGAATCTGACTCCAGCTTTATCTATGAACTACAAAGCTCTAACCAAAGAATAAACATAGCAAAGCAAAACAATGTTTCCGGCATGAACTGTATTTCATTTCTCCCACAACCTTACTTCTACCCCACCCACCCCTGTCAAAGTTGCTCCAAGAACCACTAATGGGTAATTGTTCACACCTGCGGTGCTTCTCTGCGATCCTACCAGTGACATTGTGTTCCTCTCAGGATTTCGTGAACTGCCTTCGAAGCCCTACCGAAAACTTGCCTCAATTCTGCCATGTTCTCTTGCTTCTCAATTTATACTTTCTTTCTCTAACAAAATTGGTAAGATGTCTGACGAAAGCATAGGTGATGAACATTATAGTAATAAAATCGTCGTCCACTGAAGCTCATTCAGCCTTTTTTAACTTTGTTCAGACTGTATCTAAAAACTCAATTGGACTATTTTTGTCAAACATTTTTTTCCTTGTGTACCATAATACCAGGTCTAAGGCAAAAAGTGGCTATGGTCCGAAAATTTACCTGAGGGCCTGTGTCAGATGATCAAAGTTGTATGTGCGAAGAAAGCCAAAGTATCAATCATATGTTAATTCAATTTTGTTGTTGAACAAATATTTCAAAGTGTTTTAAGATTAACTTTGACAATGGAAGTTTTGAAGTAAAGTCTGTTCGCAGGTTCTTTAATTATACAGGCGAAGACCCACTCTCTAAGATATAATATGATATGATTTTTTCTTTTATCCTTTCTTAGATGGAATCGCTTGCTAGTACCCGAGACGAGTTTGGCCTCTTTGGGCTGAAAGTCATAGAAGAACTAACAAAAGGAGAGGGTCATGCAGAAAGTACCAATCACGCTGCTCTAGTTGTTTCTGTGAGAAAATTGGAGAGGTATCATGGAATGTTGCAACGGATGATACCCGTTGTAGAAAATGAACTTGCAGATCATCTAATTGAATTGTCTGATGTAGTAACAGAGTTCATCAGGGAAAACAATTTTGATCAACCAGAAGAAAGCGAAAATGAAAGATTGAATCGCTTCTTATTAGGAGAGTCCTCGTCTCGTGGTGGGAGGCCTGAAATATTACTGTCCGCTGAAGAAATGACCGCATGCAGAAATACAGGCAAGTCAACTCTTTCATTTAATATATATGATAAAAAAGTGTTTACTGTCATACCAGTTCACTGAGACTTTGATGTTGAAGCCTAAGTGCTCAGTCAAAATGTGGATGCCTAAAGTCGGAAAAAGCCTATCTCGATTGCAACGTTCCAAAATTTCCACTCTGATTCTATTTAATAAAGGACAACTAAACCACATTTGCACATGAAATTGTTACTATTTACTCTCTAAATATCAAAGAAAATGTTTGACAAATTTCAAGAAAAAATGTTCCTTTATTTGCCTTTTAAAGAATGAAGTATCATTAAAGATGTGTATTATCGAAAATTGAAATTTATATTTGTCTACTATTTGCGTATTGGTTTGTCTACCTTTTTTGTCATGTAAACGTCTGGTGCTGTGTATATGAAGACAGCACCTCTGTACAAGTGTGTACAAACGGCACTTGTGCCCCCTCATAAGAACACGTATTGTCAATGATACTCAACTCCAGCTGTCGGTCTTTCTGACATTTGTCTTACAGCCCCTTTCACACAGCAAATATGGAAGCTGGAAAGGAGGTCACATGGTCGTTGCTCAATAGTCGTATATTTGTAAGTTTGGACTTTTTTTATCCAAATTTCCACTTAAATTACGCAAATAGCTCATATCAACTGATAGTTGTTTAGTCCCGACTCATCATCTGATGCTGAAAACTGCACCCCTGGTTGTTTCTGTATACGCATAAAATCTTGTCCGCACTCACTTCCCAATGACCCTTTGTACATTTTAACTTTAAGGGAACCTCATAAAAGCCTGTCTGAGCTTAAAATCGAGTAACTTAGAGAAAGAAAATAAGTGGGAGGATTGGATAATTAATAATTTGGAAATTATCTGCCTGTTATCTTTCTGCTTCCTCTATGGTCCATTTATACGAATGTGTACTCTTGACAACCAAAATAATTGATGTAAAGTGTACCTTGTACTTTGAATTCCCACATATTCAAGTACGAGTTAATGCGTTTTTTAAAGGTTTCTTGAAGTGAAAATGTAAGTTGTGCAATTTTTTTAATGTCACAATCAGAAGTGTTGCTAAAGCGATTTTGAAAAAATGGTACCATGTCTCGTCCCAGTTTCAGAGTAAAACTTACATTCAAAACCCTCCGACTTCCTCAAGGCATCCCCCTCTACCCTGTATTCATCCTGCTCGTCTCATGAACACCTTGTAGCATCCTTTGGGTCGTGTGGGGGACCTAGCCTGAAAATTGGGGTTTTCTGCTAAGCTATTGCCTTTCCTCCATGATGCATTGCAAAGGGTGAGGTATTACCTCACCCATTGAGCAGTCATATATTTATGACTGCTCAATGGCTCTCTCATATCTAGACAAGTAGTAGAATACTCATTCTTCTACTCTTATTCTTCTACTCTCTACTCACAAGGACTCTAGCCTGCTTTATCTCAAAAAATTAAATACTCTCTTTGAATTTATTCTACTGTCTAGTAATTTTTGTCTCTCCTGTTCTAGGAATGACGTGGACGTCCATGGCAAATTATTTTGGTGTGTCAAAAAGTACCATTTTTCGCAACAAATGGAAAGTACAAGAAGACGTGCATGTAAGTGACGAGGATCTTCTTCAATGTGTTGCTCACTGTAAAGCAGAAATACGAGGCTGTGGTGAAAGGTATATTGATGGCCATCTCAGAGCTGCAGGGAAAAAAGCTTCTCGGAGAAGAATCCGATTAGCTCTACGTTTTGTTGATCCCATTGGAACAGTTTTCAGGCAGCGGTTCAAAACTCAACGACGAGAGTACCATGTGAAAGGCCCTATGTACTTAGTGTAAGTTAACTCTCAAATTTTTGGAAAAAAATTAGTCCTTGTCAAGAAAGCTCTGTATGAATATATTGCACAACATGTGTTTAGCAGGATTCTTAGACACATTTAAAAAAAATCTACTTAAATCACGGCCGTACACAGTGTATTATGAGCTTGTGCTTGGGCTTGATTGACGGGTTGAGGAATTTCGTGGTCCGGAACAAGGTTGTTAATCCAACGCGGAATAGGGTGCTAGGGTGAGCCATTAAGACACGGAATCAGATGAAGAAAGTGCCCATTGCTTGACCGTTTTCTCCATGCTAAAGGTAAAATTTTTGGGTTAAAATGCATTATTGTTACATTGATTATTGATTGGTCAAGTAGATTTTGAAAAAAAAATGCAAGGGGAGCGAAAATGAAACTATCTTCAAACCACCCTGTGTTTGGTAGTTGTATTTATATTGTTCCAAAAATTGTTTGATTATTTATTCATTAATTTATTTTTTTTCTGTCTTTTTTTGAGTGATTTGTGTGGCCTAACATATATCTTGCACATTTTAAAGCAACAAGAGACTTGCTCATGAGGGTCGCAATGTTGGCGAAAGTATCTTAAGATTTCACGTTTTGAGTGCTATAAAATTTCCAGGGGAGAGCCCCTGGACCCCCTAGAGCCCACTCCTTTAGTGTCGGTCCCCATGAGAGATCACAGGCCGCTTTTTTCGGCCAATCTAGCACTGGTTTTCGGACATGATTTTTGCTGTATGTACTATTTCTTGAAATTCTTTATCTTTATAGTACCTAGAAGGGAGAAACAAGTTAATTTCTTCTAGGTCATTTGTGTTATGTCAAAGTACACTAATTTTTGGGCCCCCTTTAATATTTGGTGCGACCGCCTAGGTGGGGAAGCAGGCCCAAACATTACTTTTCAAAATACAACCTTCCATTTGTGATACAATGAAGAAAAGAGCAGACAGAAAGAAGACTTTGTACGATAGCTGCAGAAAGCCATATTTGTTTTTTTAAAAATGGCAGCCTGTCAAAGTTGAGAAAGAGTCAACTTTGACTGGTTGCCTTTATGAAAAAAATTGAGATGCTGACCTCAAGCTTGCAACAGAAGTTTGCCTTCTTTTAAGGAGGATAAAATTAATACTTTTGCCGCCACATGAACGTTTTATTTTTGTAATCCCTTTTCAAAGTTGTATTACAAGTGGGCGGTTGCTATTTAATGTAAAAATAAAGTTTGCGGCCGGAGCCCCTCGAGGGCTCCTCTCAAAATTTATGGGGGCTCAAGAAGTAGCCTCTTAGTGCCTAAGAACATCCCCTGAGTTTCAAGTTTGTATTTAAAATAAGAAAATTTTCTACCCAGATGGCTCCTTTTTTATATGCACCCTCTGTATTCTTGCTGTAGCAAAAATAAATTTATGAAGACTTAAATGTGTAATATTCGTAAATCATCATTTCTCAAAATCAAATCTGTTGGAACTTCCAGCAGCGACTATTCTCCAGCTATAAATTTTAAGAAACAATGCATGTTTGGCCTCCAGAAAAAATTAGACCTCTGATTATTTAGGACTACTCATGTTTCCTTTTCCTATTATCTGAACCAATAGAATTTCGTGGAGTCTAATGTGATTTTTTTTTTTTCCAGACACATGGATGGCAATGAAAAGATGCAGTCTGTTGGTCTTTATGTGCATGGTCTAATTGATGGATACAGTAGGAAGGTCATGTACATATTTGTTTCTTCTAATAAGAGGTCTGGAACTGTCATGAAAGTATTTCGCGAGTTTGTCAGGAAGTATGGGTTTCCAAAAATAGTGAGAAGTGATAAAGGTGGGGAAAATGTCAAAGTAGCAGAGTTCATCCTCAGTCATAGAGGGCTTTCAGAAACCTCTTTTATCACAGGCAAGTCAGTGCACAATATCAGAATTGAGAGGTTTTGGGGAGAAGTAAATAGAATTTCAGTTAATTACAGAGATTTGTTTTTGCAAATGTCGATAGAAGGCACTTTGAATCTAGATGACCCACTACATATGTACGCCTTACATTATGTTTTCATTCCAAGGATTCAATGGAGCCTCAATAGTTTTAGAAGATGTTGGAATTTCCATAGAATCCGAACAGCTCATAATAAAACTCCAGAAGAGCTTTTCCTAACGGGCACTCATCCAGAGGTTTCCCTAGTTGATGAGGATATAGGTGAAAATGAAGCTGACCCTAATGAGTATGAAGCTGAATTTTCTGTTTTTTCTTCATTCGCCGAAATGATAATTCCTAATCCCTTACATGGTGACGGAGAAGAAAACTTCATTACCCTTATCAATGCTATTGAAGCAGAAAGGAACTCTCTGTAAATAATTCTATCAGACCACAAAAAGAACACTTTTTCTGCTGTAAAAGAGATCTAAATAATTATTCTCTGATTCCCTGAAACTACTATTACACTTCACTATTGATCATTTAAGTTGCCTTTTACTGAAAAATGTATAACTGTCCTTCATTTTTCAGTGTTAAAACTAAAAAAGAATGCTTTTAATACAATTTAAATCTGACTTTTTACCCTTATAAATCTACTGGCCTAGCGCACAATCCCAAATGAGTGTAGACATCAGGTTCAAGCGTTTGATCCCAGAATCATCAGTAATGAGTCTAGAAAAAATAGCCTTATTCACCATAGGACGTGATTTCGGCATGTCAAACTTTTCTACTAATTAGAAGTTAAACAAACCGGTAGTTTAACCATAATCTGTTTTCTGTTATGTATAAATCTTTCTTGTTAACTAAATATTATGGAAGTAAGGCCTTCCAACCAACATTATGGTTATTCCCCTCAGCTCCAAGTTTTATACACTAGAATATGGGCTCCTCGAAAAAAGAAAATTTTATTTTCCTCTTGAAAAAATAGCCTTGTTCACCCTAGGACATGAATTCGGCATGTCAAACTTCTCTACTAATTAGAAGTAAAACCAGCCTGTCATTTAACCATAATCTGTTATAAATAAATCGTTCTTGGTAACTAAGTATTATGGAATTAAGGTCTTTCAACCAGCAGTATGGTTATTCCCCCAATCTCCAAGTTTTACACAGTAGATTATGGGCTCCTTGAAAAAAGAAAACTTTATTTTCCTCCTGATATCCTAACTCTGTGATCTGACCTCACACCCCACATTAATGTAAATGCAACCTACATGGAACAATTTGAAATTAACTTTCATGTTTCCTAAGTATCAGACACTTCTGTGAATTGTCTTTAAACTACATATTTTTAAATTTTGCTCTATTGATTTTTGTTTTATTTTGTTCCTCTATTCCTGTTACAATTTATACAAAAGAAACAAATAATCCCAAAACCTTAGTTTCATTAAGCAATTTCAAAAGGACAAAATTCTACATCATCAATCAATTTGGAGTTTATAACCTCATCTTTACTGTGGACCATCATACTACTGTGCCTAAGAAACAATTTTAAATTCACAATCTTATTTTTTATTAATTAAATTTTCTTGTGAATTACAGCTAAATAAAATGCCCCATATCTTCTGTGTTTTACCTATTCCTTCAATAAATTGGTATTCCATATGTTTTCCAAAATGTCCGTGTCTCCTCTTAAAATTTCCTCAAAATTTTTAGAATAACAAGATACAGGTATCCTGTAATGTTAAGGAGGTATCCCCCTCTCAGAATAAAATCGTTTAAAGTTGCAGAATAAATTCCAAGATTTTTTATCGTTATAGGTATACCTCAGGGGGGAGAAACCCCAAATTTTCAGGCGCTGGTTATGCAACCTGCACCCACAGGACTCTAAATACCGCAAAAGCTGTCAATATTCAGGATCCATTTTTTTCAAGTTCTAATCAAGCTTTTTTCATTCTGTTTAGACCAAACTACTCCAAATATACCAGAGAAGGTTCCCAAGGATGCATTTTGCTCAGTCTTGACTTCCAATTATTTTATGAATATTATTTTAAAATTAAATATTTTTCAGAATAGTCCATTCTCTTAAACAATTTTTAAAGTACATCTACTGGTAGAAAATCATTATGCTTCCTTGGGAACCCTCTCCTTTTAATTTGGAGTATTTTAAAAAAAACCGGAGGTAAAAAGCTTCAGTAGAAGCTGAGAAAAGTTGTTCCTAAGCTCGGAAAACGAGTAAAAATTGAGGTCCGTTAAAGATGAATTTGGAAAAAAGAAAGCAATTTATGCAGTTCATGGTGAATACCTTGATGTATTACTTGTTTTTAACTTACAGTTTTGAGTCTTTCTGTCTTAAAATTGTCCTACACCATATGTCAGTCCCTCTTTGGACTTTACTTCCTCTTCAGCCTTCATATTTTCGAAATACAAAAAATAATACCACAGTCTCTTTTTTGCGGAAAATCCTGAAATTTTTCCTGCTAATTTTTCCTGACATGTAACATTTAAACGTAAAATTGGAGATGTTCTGAGGAACTTAGGAAAAATCCAAATACATTTTCGGAATCTGCAGATGCATCTACAGTATAAACAGCCGAAAAGTGAAAAATCATAAAAAAAAAAATTTTCTCCATATTTAGAGGGGAATACCCCCTTAAGGTCCATATTTTTTAATAACAAGTAATCCTAATTTTTCAACGGGAGAAGAATGGCTTGAATTTTTTCTTTCAAAAAAAAAAGTAACAAACCCTTCTCTCCATTGTCAGCGAGGAAAAGAACCTCCTAAAAACAGCTCTTTTTGACAGCAGAAATGCCGTTTGAATATATCCAGAAAAAAATTTGGCCTTGAGTTGTTATCATCTCAATTTGTTTCAACATGGCGAAAAGTTAAAATTAGAATTTTTAAAAAATGTTTCATCATTGACAGTATTTCATTTACTAAGAGGAATTGATTTTTTCGGAATAATGATATTTTCGTGAGTTTTTCGCTACCTATCGAACAGAAATTTCCTGGCGTGTGTTTTTTTTTTTTTTTTTTTTTTTTTTTTTTTTTTTTTTTTTTTTTTTTTTTTTTTTTGTGCCAATTTTCAAGTAGCCCACAGGCCTAATTGGACGTATTTCTGTCAAACGGAACTTTGTGCATTAAGACGTGAGCCCTGTTACGCATATATTCTTATGTGTCTCAGGGCTCATGTCTTAATGCACATAGTTCCGTTTGATAGAAATACATCCAATTGCACACTAAATAATCCACCCCCAGGTGATCATTGTCGGAGACGATGAAACTCAGGACAGGTCACCCGATTGGGAATCGAACTCATCCTATCTTTTGGTTTCTTTTTCTAGATAAGTAAAAAGGATTTTCCCAAAAGGACTACGTGCAAAACGGGCCATTTGGGACTCGGGGCGGATACCTTTGAGACTTGCCCTATTCATTCGCCTAACAATGCCCCATCTTTTCCCAAAGTTTCAAGCCCCCCAAAAATTTTAGGGAGACGCGGCGGGGGGGGGTCAAAGTTAAAAACCGGCAAAATTTTCGCGAATTTATTACTCGAAAACCAAGAAGTTTTGGCAAACGCGGTTTAAACGAGCGTATTCAGCGTGACGAGAGCTTTCAGTAAATGTATAACATCATAGGGTTTTATCAACTTCAGCTCGAGTTATCGCCTCCGAAGCGCCGGAACGCTCAAAAAAGACCCCTTATTTTTTCACGTTTGGGCCGATTTAAAAAAATACAAAAGCCATTTTTTCATTTTGATGAAAAACTGATATGTTGTTCCTGACTCTTTGTAGCCCCTCTGGCTCTTTATCGCATGCTGAAGAAATGTTTTGGTCGCGAGTTACAAGAGCGGAAATAAGGAGCGAAGGTCGGGAAAATCGGCTATTTTAAACTGCGCGCGCGACGTTGATCGGAGGGAAAACGTCCCCTCTCACTCAGTTCGGCGAATCACACTCCTCTGCCGACCTCGCATTGTTGCCACATGTCTCCTGATCCGTCGCCGCGCGCAGTTTAAAATAGCTGATTTTCCCGACCTTCGCTCCTTTCCGCTCTTATAACTCGCGACCAAAACATTTCCCCAGCATGCGGTAAAGAGCCAGAGGGGCTACAGAGAGTCAGGAACAACATATCAGTTTTTCATCAAAATAAAAAAATTGCTTTTTTTTAAAGCGGCCCAAACGTGAAAAAATAAGGGGTCTTTTTTGAGCGTTCCGGCGCTTCGGAGGCGATAACTCGAGCTAAAGTTGACAAAATCCTATGATGTTCTACATTTTCTGAAAGCTCTCGTCACGCTAAATACGCTCCTTTAAACCGCGTTTGCCAAAACTTCTTGGTTTTCGAGTAATAAATTCGCGAAAATTTTACCGGTTTTTAACTTTGACCCCCCCCCGCGTCTCCCNCCCCCCCCCCCCCGCCGCGTCTCCCCAAAATTTTTGGGGGTCTTGAAACTTTGGGAAAAGATGGGGCATTGTTGGGTGAATGAATAGGGCAAGTCTCAAAGGTACATATCCGCCTCGAGCCCCAAATGGCCCGTTTTGCACGTAGTCCTTTCCGTTTATAAAAGATGATACTCTTAAACTGAGAATTCACGTAAAAATAATTACTTAATTCCTAGGAAAGTTTTTTCAGCTATTACCGGACATGATATAAGACATTCCTCTCTTGCGTTTGACACACAGACTAGTGACATAGAAATAATAAAGGCTACGCTTTATTATACCGGGCGGCTAGTGACGGCGATATTTGGATCTATCTTTTGGAAAGATCGATTCTTCAAAACCAAAACATTGAATGGATTCTTTCACGCCGATCTTTCGCCTGGATCAATTCTTTTTACCTGGAATCGGATTATACAATCCTAACTTCAGAATCTGCGCAAGAAAGATGTGTTTTTTCAAGCTTCCCGCTTCAAAAACGATGCCAAGGCACAGGTGAACATTTCGTTAGAGGAGCCATTCCATCCAAATCCCTGTGCACTATGACACCACTCTATATTCCACACGGCTGATGCCAATCCGCCAAAACGGCAAAAAAAAAAANAAAAAAAAAAAAAAAAAAAAAAAAAAAAAAAAAAAAAAAAAAAAAAACGGCCAAAATACATGTGCCGGGACGAAATTCTAACCATTTGCTAGCAAGCAGTGTTTGCATTCACGTTTTCCTTGCGTTGGTGAAGAAACTACCAAAAACCCCAAAAAACTTTCAGATTCGAAGGGGTAAAGAATCCGGCCAAAGTCTCAAACTTGTTGAACCAAATTTTCTTATTACTCCTAAAAGAAAATTAAAAATTATACTTTACTGAAAATCGAATGTGGGCCCCTTCATAAACGAGTGATACAACATTCACTGCATGTGTGTATGTGAGCCTCTTGTAGGAGCCCAAGCGGTTTGCTCTTTGCAACAAACGCTACATTCGTGAACGGAAAGTCTTTGAAGGAGCACATAACGTCCTCTTTCTTTATTTAACTTTTGCATTTTTTATTCAGAATCTTCATAAAATCAAAAAGAAAAGTATGGACTGATCTGAGCCTTATATGTGCTCTAAAACAATATGAAATATTTTATCGCACAAAGTCAAATATTTTATCTTTAAAATTTAAAGCTACGTAACTAATTCAATAATCATGACTCGTGCATTGGCAGAAAAGTTTTCTCAGAGACTCAGTAAATTCCCTTGCTAAGCTGCATGTATCTTCAAGTAGGCATTATACTTCTAAAAATAAATGTAGGCCCCTTCATTTCGGAGTGATGCAACAGTCATGACGTGTAAGTATGTTTAGCCTTTGCGGGGCAGCCTCCTTCCTCACCTATTTGCATTTTTATCTAAAGTAAAAAAAAATATGGATTGATCTAAGCCTTCTATGTGCTCCAAAATAATATGAAATATTTTATCGCACAAAGTCCAATATTTTTCGATTCAGGTCCTACAAATGCTTTTAAAAGAGCATGAAAAAAAAATACTCAATCGGCTGGCTAAAGTCCATTTTTTTTTCTGAGAATAGTCTTCTTCTTCAATGAGTGATGCAACAATTGCGACATTTTTGTATGAAAAGCCCTTGCAGAAGCCTTTTTATTTGACTCAGCTAAATTTTGAAGAATCACTGACGTGTCCGCAAAAATGCGTAAAAAAGATAGGTCACTGAAATTAATGCTTCATAGAGATATCCATGTCAAAACCCTCTTACCTATTCTACTCTGCGTAAAAAATAAAAACGCTATTTTCAACCATGATTTTTGTTTTTTTAAATCTTCATTAATTTTCTCTTAAAACAATTTTCAATATCTAGATAATCTGGAGTCCTTTTCGTGACGATCAGTTCATTATGCAGTGGTATATGATACAATGTTATGATAGCTTCCATTTAGCATTTTCACTGGAAAAAATCCAAACATAATTTGAAATACACTTTTCTTATGTGATTTTTTGCGTAGAATCCGAATTTCAACTTTGCCAACAAAAAAAACCCCCGGAACATCGGCCATTTTGGAAAAAACGTTGCCAAATCTCGTTTTTTTGTCAAAAAGTCTAAATATCTCGCGGAATATGCATTTTTAGGCAAAATGAGTTATTTTCAGAAAGAAAGAGCGTAAAATTTCCGATAGGAAGGGTTCTCTTTTATGAGCGTACGACAAAAATTGAAGCTTCAGCAATC